TTCAGTTTAAGCAAAATAACAAAAAATATGATTGAAAACTTGCAGCACGGTAAGTTATTAAGCATTGCACAGACTCAAGTAAAGAAAAGACCAACTTGCTCTTTCATCCACTAAGAAGTATGGGATGTTTTGCTCATAAACTTTGTATTAAAAACATAACTAAGATTAATGAATCAGAAAAAGTGCTTTATGCTCAAGTAAAATGACCATTTAACACACAGAGGCAAATTTAACATGCAAAAATAAAAATAAGTAACTGTCCATGTGTATAGAAGAGATTTGCTAGCATCTAACATTTATACGAAGTAATGACTATATCAACAAAGGAAACAAATCATAAATTAATTAAAAGGGCCTCAATCCAAAGCAGTTATATGCAGACAAGAGAACTATAACAGTTGTCACTCATAGCCAGAAACTGTTCCCATTGTGTCATCTATAATGAGCAAGTTTTTGTGCCATTTATTGAGGTTTGTCCACATCACTTCAACAAAATCCAGAAGCAACACTAGTTTCAGTGTGTTTTACTGGATATGAAAAATATGCCCTGGGTCCACCATTCTTCTGTAGTATGGCATCACTCTTTTATGCTTCTTAAAAGGTGGGGGGATTAAAACAAGCCAGACAGAAATGTATTCCATTACTTTCAGCATCTTCCCATCAGAAAACAGGGGAAATGTTCTAGAGTCCTCTCCATTATCACAGAGAACTTATGAGGCAATCTCACATATCAGACAGGGGGTCATCTAGACATATGAGAGCCCACTGCCAAGGCCAAATGGAGTGAAAAGACTTTTTTCTATGTAATACTATGTAATTTAATTATGTCCTCAGTACAAAAATGTCATTTTATTCATTTAAATTCTAACTTTTCTGCCTAGCGATGCAATAATGGAACTCAAGGTACCTTACAACTGAATAAGGTCATGCAATTTATGGAGTAAATAAAATAACCTAATCACTAGATATAATATCCTCCTTGCAGACCATAATACTAATAAAGGGAGAAAGGGAGAAACATGCCAAGAGAAAAATGCATCAAGCATATCCTTGTCAGGACTGCCTTCCATCTCAAAAGATATGCCCTGAATGTGAAATACCATGCGGATGCAGAATAGGTCTCCATAGTCACTTACAAAGTTACTGTCAAGAGTACTCTTGGAAGACAATCAGCCCTGGCCATGAGTGGATGCTTATAATAATAGGAACTAAAACTTGTTTGATCTTCAGCTCTATACACTAATATGATGCAGTTCAGGATGCAATTCAAAAATGATTTATTGACAGTTGCAGATTATCATATAGACTTGTGTATAAGTTGACATCATATATGAGTCAAGGGAAGGCTTTGTGGCCAAACCGATGGAGTTTGATAAGACCTATGGACCAGTAGAGGGGTATTGCACAGAGAAGGAGCAGTGCCAATGTCACTCCAATTGGTCAGCTGCCCCTGGCTGCCGCTGCCATTTTTTCACCCAAGCATCCAAAGGGGTTGGAAGCAACGCTGTGGTGAAGACGGTACAGGGATGTTCATCTTTGAGGTTTTTGCAGGACAGCCTAAGCTTTCACCTTTTGCCCTTCTACTCAGAGGGATGATTCTTTTTTTGATAAGAGTTAAGATGTAGTACTTACGTTGGCCCATGGATACTTTGACCCAGTTTTTTGGGGTCAATGTATTGACTAAAATTTCGACTTATACATGAGTTTATGTTAAGACATAACAGAACTCAAAATATTCCATGCAGTCTCTCTCCTTCACAAACTCAAAACAAAGAACTACTCTGGTAGCCTCTACCTCAGTTTCTACAATCTATAGAAATTTATATACTTTTACAGCTGGGTTGTTGTAGGTTTTTTGGGCTGTATGGCCATGTTCTAGAAGCATTCTCTCCTGACATTTTACCTGCATCTGTGGCAAGCATCCTTAAAGGTTGTGAGGATGCTTGCCACAGATGCAGGCGAAACATCAGGTGTGTATGCTTCTAGAACATGGCCATACAGCCCGAAAAACCTACAAGAACCCAGTGATTCCGGCCATGAAAGCCTTCAACAAGCAAACAAGTGATTTTCTTTCCATGCTAAGGTCAGGAAATTTCTACAGGCACAGACTGGCCAGTTGTAGAAATAATCAAACTTGCTGTACCCTGTAAGGAAAAGTTGATAGAAGGCATGACCACTGTCCTTCACTGACACTAGGACGAATTTTAAGACTGTTGCATGGCCTAGCAGATGTTCCTAACAGCCTTGCATTCTTTCTGGCCCAGCTGGTTGCTGGCTAGGAAGCACCCTGCCTTGCTAGTTTGCCAGCAAAGTGAATTACTTTTCTACGTTTCTCAGCTTTATGCACTCAGTATCCAAGTTAATCAAGCAATATTTTATGAGGGGGGGGGGGGACAGAAATATGCAAAAAAATCAAAATTAATCTGCCCCTTGAGGTTTTCTTATAAAACTGTGGGGACATCTGTATTTTATTGGCAAATGGAACAGGAAAAAGTCAGTAAAATGGAATAATTAAGCAACGTATAGTTTTTAGTTTAATTTTCTGATTTATTTGTTTAAACGTAAATCAAATTAATATTTTTGTGCTTTCAATCATATCCTTTAGTACAGTTTATATGTTGTATGTTTTGTATGTTTCTAAGAAAAATAAGATCCCATAAAGAGCATTGCATTTGTGACAACTTAGTGCCTGTATTACAATGCATTTTACTCGAGACAGGTAAAATGTGATGTGTTGTATACTAGGATATCAGTGTATTCGTGAGAAGACTAAGCAATTGTCAGTCTAGTGCATAAACTGTAACAAGGTTTCTCTATTTTAAATATATACAGTCCTGTCTAATGTGTAAAACTTTAGCACGGCCGTAATTTGATTTTACAGTCAGCACTTCCAAAGGATATTCAACTAGTAGAACTACTTTCTCTAATTAATGCCACAAACTGTCAGAGTATCTATTTTTATCTTACACATGTAAACTACAAGCATTTTCCAAGTGAAAATACTGCAGGAAATCACAAATTCAGATAACTGTCTTTGAACAAGCAGTTTTCAGTTTCATGAAATCCCATTTTACAATTTTAGTATACACAGCAAATGAAAAATCTTAGGACTGGGCAAGGGAAATAGTATAGATGTCTGTGACATGAATATTGACTGCAATAGGCAAACTCTTGAAATTCCTTGGTTCACAGAGCCTATAGGAGAAAACGATGCTTCCTTAATTTTAATTCTCCTTGTTCAAATTAATGTCTTTAGGAACATCAGTACAAATGCTAATCTTGGTTAAAACTAAACAGGATATGGTATTCATCACAATTTTAATTCACTGACCAACCAATTTATATTTACCGTTTTTCTTTCACTTCTTTTTCAGTCATTTAGTTTACTGCAAAACTTAAAATTCTCTAAATCTCTGTCTTGATGTATAGAAAATATCCTTCCCACTTAAGTGATTATTTGAGAAGTATGAAACAGTCAAACCATTAGCATTTATTATTTATCTTGAATTAACTTTTCCACACTGATTTGCAAGAAATGTTTTGCTATTGAACTGTACCATATCGAATATCCTACAGGTATAAGCATTTTGTATACACAGCCACAGATACAAAAATGAAATGAATTCATGCCATTCATTTCATTCTGATTTTTTTGCACAAAATACAGAGAGAAGAGGCCTCACAACGAAAGGCAAGCACTACATCCAACAGCTTCTGCTATTGCTAGAGTTTGCCCATGTGACTTTTTTGCAACATCCTAACTCAAGCCCACAATCTGAGTCATAACTGCTGTCTCTGTTAATGGGTACCACTCACTCCAGCTGCACCATGAGATGCAGAGCTAACCATAAGAAATGGGGCATCAAAGTGGAGTCCACAACATGTGCGTGTGGAGAAGAGCAAACCACAGACCACTTACTACAATGCAGTCTGAGCCCTGCCACATGCACAATGGAGGACCTTCTTACAGCGACACCAGAGGCACTCCAAGTGGCCAGCTTCTGGTAAAAGGAAAACTAGTATAATGCTAAGTTTTTAACTTTGTTTGTGGTTTTTCTATACATTAAAATTGTATTTTCCACTTGCTTATGACACGATAAATAAATAAAATCCCAGCTGCAGCAGTTGAAGCAGTTGGTAAGCAAAAACAGGCCTCTGCTGGGGGAGCGATTGCTGCAAAAAGGGATGACATCAAAGTCAGGGAGACTCTGGAGGAACCTCATGTAGTTGAGAGACTTTAATTTAGGGTATAAGAATGGTGTCAAATCAGTCATAGCCTATTCTTACCCACTGGCAGACCTCTTAAAATGTGCTTCTTTAGTTAGGAAACAGGTGCAACATGAATCTTTTAGCTGATTAGAGAGTACAAAGTATTCAACTTTTCCCCAACACCTAATAATAAACCCTCCCAAAGCATTTGGATATATCGGGAAAACCATAAGTACAAATTCAATATTGTTACAGTACTGAACACAAAAATATTTATCTACCCATAACTGCAGTTCGCACCTTTTAGTCTTAATCATTTTTTTACGAACAGAGTTATAGCTGCACTCTGTGTTTGAACTGTCACATTATATTACATTACTTTATCCGCATCACAAAGAACATCTCAAATGGCAGTTGTGTGGCAATCTTGAATAAATCTAAACTTATAAGTAATGCTTGGAAATAATAAGAACTCTCAACCTTTCACACTGAGAAATGTTTGAAATGTTCATCATTATAAGGCTTTACAAACAAAAATTCCAACCTACACTTTGACTGCAATAAAAATAGGATAGCTTATGATTCCCATATCATTTGTTAATTTTATATTAATTATAGAGGTTGATATGAAGTATTAAAAACTATTTCAAAGTAATAGACAATATAAAAACATGTATCTCCATAACAATTATTTCGGGACTTTAATGTCTTTTTATTCAAGGCTTCTGCAGATGTTACTTTTTCTTTATACTGCAGCAAGAACATTTTTAAATTTTGAAAGGCTCACTTACTTCTCTCCAGTGTCCCCTTTGGTGGGAGTTGTGGCAATTGTCTACCCCTGCGTCCTGCTACTGGGGTACTTGATGGGCTTGTTTGGACAGACCCCATACGAGCATGTGACCTATAGGACACATCAAGAGAAACCGTCAACTGTAAAATACATTTATTTTTCGATGCCTGAAAAATATGTGTATAATAAAGGCTTTCCTATATTTTTTAACCTTTATTGACATTGGCATTGTGACAACTCAGTCCTATACATTTATAAACACACAGGTCTTAGTATAAAAAAGGTTTGTCTGGGAGAAAAACCCAAATTATACAAAAGGATGAAACACAGTATGTTTGTGTAATTGCATCTGCTAATTATCTATGAAATGTAGTGTAAATATTGACACACACAGATGCATTACAACAAATAGAAAGATATACATATGTGTATGCATATGTTTTATTGTTTCATTTTCCCCCACAGAAAGATATATATGATTGTAGAATTTGGCTAACATTACACCATGAGGTCAATGAGAGACAACAAAATACACCTATATTTCAATGAGTGAAATGGAATCGTAACACTATTATTCTTAATAATATGAACAGCGCATTCAGAAAATAGTTTAAGTTGGACAAAATTAGCTCTACACACATCTTCCTAGTTCATTTTGCAAAAACAATTTACTTATTTAAAATCCATTTGATTATGAATATGGTATACCACTCAAACAGAAACAATGTAGAACATGCACACAGCAAATCAAGAGAAAACACTGGTTAAGAGCACTTAATACACAAAAAGTACAATATAATTTAAGAAACTGTTTTCTTAAGAAAAAAAGTTTCATTTGATGTTATGATGGTTATTCCATAAGCGATGTCTGATGATCACATACAATTTCTCATTCTGTAAGAAAATTACATGATAGTTATGAAGTGCTTTAGTGTAAGAAATCACCCAGGATTCCTGATAAATGAGAAATCACAAAACAAATGTAATTAATTGTGTCATTAATTATTGTTAGTAAACAAATTACAATGATAGCCACACCATTATATCCCAATGGAATATAAATAGTGTGTAAACGTTGGCAAGGTTAGTATCTACAACTACTAGTGATCAGCCAATGATGAAAGGCAACAGCATTCAGCTTTTGGGAAAATAAAAGTGAGCTGGTGGGGCGGGATTAGTCTGATTGGATTGTCTGTTTCACCTCGATAAGGCAGGTGAGGGAGGGGCAGATCTTCCCGTCATTAATGAAGGCATCGATCTCATGAGGTTTGAGTCAGGACGTTCAGTGGAGCGGGAGCGGGGGCTGGGCCGTTCTAGCACAGGACGCTGTTCTGTGGATCTGGATCTTTGATATGGTAGTCTAGGTTCCCAATTCCTGTAATGTTAGTCAAAAAGCAGCTCAATTGACCTTTATCTGAAGTTATGGATTATGCTGCATCATATTGGTTTTGGAGAGGAGCAACAGTAAGCACATTTCTAACAATTTTTCTTCCATTTCCTTGTGTGTGTGATCTTGTACACAAAAGAAAAAAATGGTATATGAATTTAAAAAATCAAAATGTTTCAATAATGTAGCCTCTTTACAAAAAATGACCGCCTTAAAATGAAGTGGTTACTACTTTATGAAAACTCTGCCAATCTTTTTAAAAAGCTGACTAGTACCATTAAGTCAAATTAGCATTGAAACCAAGTCACATTTTGTATTCTCAGTTAGTTATTACAAGGATTGTCATTGTTTTCAAGATCAATATAGTATAAAATACTGAAGAATATTATTCTCCATTTACCATGTTTTTAGTTATTACAAGGATTGTCATTGTTTTCAAGATCAATATACTATAAAATACTGAAGAATATTATTCTCCATTTACCATGTTTTGGAGTTAACCTCAAATGGCATACTTCTTTTAAAAAAAAGCAGATCTAAGTGTATCTGCTATTCAACAACAGGTTTTAAAGGTTATGCTGAATTTTATGAGGAAAACATGGATGGTATCTGATGAAAAGTGCTGGCATGACACTGTAATGAGAGAACACATAGGAACCCAGGAAAAAAGAAATAGCATTAAAAGTTTCCAAAAAGTTATTCAAAAATGTATACTACAAATAGTATTGTGGACATGGAAAAACTACTGGCAAAAAAAAATCAACTTTATACATTTATTTTGGCTAATGATCTATCTTCAGTTGAACCATAAGGTACCACCACTGTGGTCTGATTATGTACTTATTAATGCAGCTTCTTCTTCTTTACTTTAAAACCACTCATTTATGATGAGAAATGACTGCTGAACATATCACAGAAAAGAAAATCTGAATATATTAAAGAAGGCAGGAGAACAACGGTAATTATAATGCTTAAGCCCTTACACAATTTACAGCAATTTAGACCTCATCAACACCAAGGTTGTCCTGGAAAAATTTAATAATTCGCCAACTGATTTCTTTGGTGAAAACACTGGAATACCTGCAAATGTGTGCCTTTTTTGTAATAAGTAGTAGTAAGCCCCACAGACAGGTTCAGAGTAATACCAGCCACCAATAGCCTCGGTTTAAAGCATCTAGTAAGCAGACACGTTGCACTGGGACACATAATCAGCGGGAGAACTACGTATCAGGGAGGAGCCATAGCTAGCCTTAGACAACTTGCAAAGATTACCTCATGTTTTCTTCTGGATCTACAAGTTCACTTTCTGAATAGGAAGCTTGATCTGCCAATACATCCACCGTTTCACTTCTTTGATATCAAGGACAAACAAACAAAATGTCACCTTAACTTGAAATACCTATTGCTTATCTGACACGGAATTTAGGGAGGGCTATGCAGCCAGCCCTCCACATTTGCTGGGGTTAAGGGCACAGGACACTCACAAAAGTGGAAAGAAAACAAATAAAAAGCTGCCTTCAAAAAGAAAACCCTGAAAGAACCCCTTCCCTTCGTGCTTCAGCACATATGTATGGTCACCTTCTGCTGGACTATAGAATTACACTGGGGAATCCAGAGGTTCCTAGAGAAACTTGACTTCTGGCAGAATTTGATCACAGAATTGCACTATAAGGTCTAGAAATTCCCGGAGGACATTTTAATCAAAGCTGTAAATGATCAAATCTGCAAAAATCAATCCTGCAAAATGTGGAGGGTTAACTGTATTTGAAAAAAAAATGTGGATATTCAAGTAGAAAAGAAATATGTTGCTTTTGAGAGAGAGAAAAGTTTCTCATGCCACATATTTTACAGCCACATGAAACTGAAGTCTCATTTTCAAATTATTTTCACAGGACAGGAGCTGTTTCAGTGTAGTTCAAACCCTCTGAGCAGTGGTTTTAGATTTTGCCTCAGCAAGTCCTAAGTAGATAGAATCTGCTATATAGGTATAATGTTATGCTGGTAGCATGAAAAGTAACCACACTGCACCATCTCCCATGCTGCGGAGATAAGGCCAATAGCCAAAGACTTTCTTACTTAATCTCCAAGACTACAAATCTGTTTGTTAACCATACGTAAATGGAGATGTCACTAAACAAGCACTGGCAAAAGGGATAAGGAGATCAAGTAAAAAAGTATAAGCTTTCTTCAACGGAAACCTGTCTTGCTTTAATCATGCGATTTTTGGCACTAGGAGCTAAGCATGCTTTCCAACTCCCTAAATGATAAGGGACTTTCGGTGGGAGATTTTTGCTTTCCATATATTATTTATCAATTTGAGGATAAGTAACTTTTTTGTGTATCAGGAGCGACTTGAGAAACTGCAAGTCGCTATTGGTGTAAGAGAATTGGCCGTCTGCAAGGACGTTGCCCAGGGGATGCCCGGATGTTTGATGTTTTACCATCTTGTGAGAGGCTTCCCTCATGTCCCCACTTGGGAAACTAGAGCTGCGACGGGAGCTCACCACGTTTCCTGGATTGGAACTGCTAACCTGTCGGTCAGCAGCCCTGCCAGCCACTCAGTGTTACTGAATTTAAACTATTCCGTAACAATCACTGTTTCTCTAAAGACTGAAAGCCATGTAAGAATAAAAATAGCCAATAACGGTGAAAAAATGCTAAAGCTGTTTGTTAAAAATGTTCTAGAACACTTTTTGATTTTTGCATCCCACTATTTGGACATGTCAATGTACTTTACTGGCAAAGAGTATTCACTCAATTTGCTAGACAGTTTATTGGAGATCTCAGCAGATACTAATAGGAAAATGCATCCAGACTTGTATTTCTTAACTGGATATATAAATGCTGTAAAGCTTCACTGGGTTTGGCCATCATTAACAAACAATTTACAAATCCTTCAACATTCGAAAACCAAAACCTAAATGATGTAATGTGGAGTAACCTGATATTTGAAATCGTTTCATTATAACAATTATGTTCTTGATGTTATAACACAGCCATTTTGTTAGTTAAAACAAATTATTTGTGCATACCTTAAACTCATATAATGTTTAAAAATCAATACAAATGGGTCTTGGACAACGCATAAATATATCTACACAGAAAGTCATTGATATAGAGACTACTGCTACAGTAAGCAAATTAGATAACATGAAGATGCATGAATACAGACAATTCATTGCTTCCTGGTATACTTCTCAGTATACCTGTTTCCTCATAAGCAGTATTTCCCTTCCTATGCATGACACCTCATAAAAGATGGCAGCTATCCATGACAATGATAAATCCCTTCCAAAGCAATGAATATGTCTGTTTAAAGAGATGAAAACATAAAAATGCAGCCAGGTTATGGTGCATTTTATGACCATGTACAATTTCTTCTACTTCTAGAGACACTGGCCACACTACAAAATAAACAAATACCTAAGAGCCACAATTATAAGTCTGTATCAGTTACTTCTCACTGGGAATACCTGTCAGTATCTGTGGAGGGTTGTTGGATTTCAATCCTTGGACAAGCTATTCTTCTACTACCTATTTTGCTGTTTGGTCACAGACATAAAATCCTTTGTTAGCATGCCATCCATAACTATTGCTACAAAGAAATTTCCATTTGTTAATTAAGTTAAAACTCCAAAGATAATCTATAAAAATAATCCTTTTAAACAAATACAATATTAGATAACAGATGTTTCACAACAGAAGACATATGCATTGACGTAATATAAAATAAATATTATATCAATCATAGAATAATGTATGTGAATGAGACAATACATGAAAAATACACGATGAGAAATCAAGCTGTAAGTATTTTTAATGAAGCTGTATTTCTTAGCAGACGGTACATCCATTTACATATACATTTGATTGCTATTAAAAAATGTACTTGTCCAAAGATTACAGACATCAATAATCTTGTTTCTAAAAAAAGCAATTGATCTTTTGTGGATATTTGTAATTTCTAAGGTATTTCTAAAAGCCCCAACATAAATTTTGTTAAAATCCAAGATGCCAACAATATAGGCACAATATGCTGATATTTTGTAAGTTTTTGAAAATGACATGAAACACTTCATTTTTAATTCAAGTTTCAAGCAAGTGCAGTCCATGAGAAATTATAGTAAAAATGACGTGTTCACTCATGATAAACCTTCACAAACTTAGGTTGAAAGGAAGATCATAGGACATGAGGAAGGATATCCTATCTCTGAGTTTTCGAGAAGCGTTATAAGCACTAACATACGCATTATTTGGGTTTTATCTCATCTGTTAAAGTGTCATCCCTAAAATTTACCCCATCTATTACAGAAGGTACTCTCATACAGTTTGATTCTCCCCACCTCAGTGAATCAGGAGAGAGGGGGCATTGCTTGACTATATTATTTAAGGCAGATGTGAGTTGTTGAGCACCCTTGGGCACACAATTGGTGAAGGATACAACTGGCCCTGGGGATCCAGTGATCAGGGGTTGGGGAAAAAAATACTGTTCTTGGGGATGGTGTCTAAATCTTTGCCCTCTTCAGGGGCCACATAGTTTAAGAGGTTATGCCCTCTGATCAGCCTTTCAGTTTGTATCTGGCCTGGTAGCAAACCCTGAAATTCAGGAATGTTTTCATGCAGGACAGCTGGGTGATGTGGTTTGGATGAGAACTACTGTTCCAGCCACTCCCACTCCAGGTGTGCCCCATTTTTATTACGTTTATCATCCAAAAACAATTAAATAAGCAACAGTTAAGAAAGTTGCCTTTACTGTATCCCATGTCTTAACTCTGGTATCATTCCTTGATTAGTCAGTAACACACAATCTTGTCTTGTACAAGCCATATTGACTATAATCTATGAGAAGTCTTTAGTCATGATCAATGCATACCACACATACTAGATCAGCAGAGAATCGCTGGCTTTAGTACGTAGATTGGATATAACCTTATATGTTTTTAAGTTAAGAATGGCATCCCATTCCTTAAGAGAAAGGAAACGATTTGTCCCAATGCCAAGAAACAGAAACCAAAACTGCAGCTCACAATATCCAAACATTAGCTTGGCTTTATTAAAGTATGGTAAATGAGGTAACAAACACATGAAAAGGGATAGATCAGGAACACTCCTACAATACTGTAAATTGCAAATAAAAAAACACCATCCATGAAATTAATATCTCTTTACAACTGACAACTTTCATGGTTTCCAACAGATCATAACTATTGAGAACATTTCTAAGAATTCTCCTACTGACAAATCCTACTTTAGATGCCATGACAATGACAGATAACTTGAAATTGTCAAATACTTCTTCTCTCTCACCCTTCCTCAAAAAATTATGTACCCAATGTCACAACAGTTGTCTAGAATGTATAAAGGGGTTTCCAGTGTTGGTTGCAAATGTGAGACATAGAGGGACATTTCACCATATGTGGTAAACCTATGAAAAAGCTAAGAAAATGTTGGGTTCTAATACATAAACTATGCAGAGGTTTCAGTTAAAACTAGAAGTGTTTCTTTTTGGACTGATGACTATACAGCTGAAGAAGACCCACAGGAGAGTAATGCAACATAAATGTACAATTCTAGATTGTATGATCTAATGTGATCATATATGGAAAATGTTATAGAAATTTATAGCAGTATAACCTCCATAGGTTTTGTGAAAAGAGAAATAAGGAATAACCTCTTATTGCCCTTAAAACTCAATAATGAAACAGAATAATACTATATTGAAAGTAGGAGTATATGTCTTTAGTTACAAAATTGTAGCACTACACTCTTTACTTACCCGTAGTTTTCAGCTGAACCATTGACTACATGATCTGCCCATGAACTTGCACCATTGTAATACCTTTGCAATGTAGTTAAAATAAAGACATGTTACAAAGATGAAACTGATTTCATAATAACATTTTTCATGAGACATATTTCATTTTACGGATCTAGTAATTATTTCCAGAGTTTTCCATCTATTACTTTCAATGAATGCATTTGGAAAATTAGGCCTTTTGGGGAAAATAGATTTATAAGTATTTACATCTCAGAGTATTAAATCACAATCAGGGCATTTAACTGTTGCCTTCTAATATTCAGTCATGGTTTGTTTGCTTTTCTGTGTCACATTGTTTTTGATAGGAAGAGTGGGTTTATGGCATATATTCAGAAGAACACAAGTGACACTGCTATTTCAAATAAAATATACATGATTAATTGTTGCAATCTTACTCTGAACCTGACTTTGTTCACACTCTGATTGCTGTCCTCTACACATATAGTAGAGAGCCATAAATAATCACTCCTGGTTATCTGTGTCGTGTAACTGCTACATGATACATATGGTTAAAAACAGTGGTATATTTAATTAATCATTAGTGCTGACAGAATGGCTTGCATCAGCAGAACAGGAAAGGGGAGATCCTTCCTTCCTCATTACTGCCCCACCTCCAACACATCGTCAACATTTGTTCTGAGAGATGACATTCGGATGGGAGCGGAGAAAGTCAGAGGAAAGGAAGAAACAGAGAAATCTCACTGTGTGAAATGATATCCTCAAGTATATAAATTGTCAATTTGTCATCAAAAAAGTGTAGGAATAAAAAAAAATATCAGCACATACAACAGCATGAGGCTTGGTATGTCAAATGTAACTAGAATTGGAACTCAGATGACTGTGTTTTATTGAGTGTTTTACAAAATGAGAAGCATATGCCTTTTAACTTTAGTTGCAACTTAAATGCAAAGTATTTAAGAATATATATTGTGATGAAGGCATAAATATACACTTAAATTGATGATGTTAGTTAACATTTAAAATCCTCATTAATTATTCATCAGTATGGCAAAAATCATTGGCGATGGTTGGTTTACATTTCTATCTTTTTCCATTTATATTCCTAAACACATCTAGGATTATCATCACGTTGGAGGCTAGGGCATTTCTATTTTTAAGAGAGACCAGGATGGCCTCATCCTTGCTTGCTTCCTGCAAGCAGGTAAAGACTTTTTTGTGCCAACAGGCATTTGAAGAAGAATAGGGGGGAACATTGCTGGGGAGGTTGTGAGTGGGATTCTGGTGGGATTGTGGGTTTTTAATGTAATTTAATTGTATTTATTATATTTTAACTGTATTTTCACCTAAATTCACACAGTACTATTTAACACTATTTGTGTTTTGTTTTTTGGTTTTTTGTATTTGCCTTGTTTTAAATTGTCTGCCCATAGGGAGAAAGGTGGGCTATAAATAAAGTAAATACATACATATATACACATATTTTTGCCTGTGTATCTTTAAAACTGCCAAATACATAGACAGCAGTGTTATTTTTGCTGTATGAAATAACAGCAAGAATAAGGGCAAATAGCATTTAATCAGTGAAATGTCTGGCTATCAAAACAAATATTTCACAGTAAATTAATTAAGGGAGAGTCCCATCAAATACCAGGTGCTTTAGGCTACTGGCAAAGCCACTTCTGAGTATTTCTTGCTTAAGATGACCTTATGAGATTCATACCATAAGTTGATAGATAATTTGAAGTTAAACATGCGTGAACACACAATGAGATCGCATCCACAGAGATGGAACTATGTATACTGTATTGAAAGCTTTGTATCTTCTTATCCCCTACTTAGCATCTCCTGCAGTGACCATCACTGTCAGATAGAACTTTGAAGCAGGAAATTGGGAAACTACTCTGGTTCTTGTAGATGTATATTAGTCTTAGAATCCAAAACTTTGTGGCAACAAAAACTAAGGTCCCTCCCACATTGCTCCTATATCCAAGGACCTGATCCCAGATTATCTTCTCAACCCAGATAGACTCATATAATCCAGTTTAAAGCAAATAATACTATGTAACAAAATTAGAAAAAAGTTATATTCCTGTTTTGGAAGTGTGATTTCCTGTTTAATTGTGTGGTACATACTTTGAAAGTAGTTGCTATACTCCAGAAACCTCATTTTTGTGGTTGAATTGGTTGAGATTCCATGAGATAGCCATTGAAAAACTATAGCAATGTCTACTAATATTTGATCCTGGCTCCCCCTCACAAGAAATGAAAAAGGCAATGATGGAAACAATCTCAGATCGCTTCGAAGATTTGTGGGAAGCTTAATACATAAACAGTATCAAGTAGTAGCCGTAGATGGCCTGCTGTCAGTGGAGGAGAAAACTGCTCACAGAAAAGCTTCACAGCTCACAGGATTCCTTGAAACGCTGAAGAATCCCATTGAAAAAAGTTGCAGGAGAGATTTCTGGACTGTTTACATTGGCTCTTGAACAATGTACATGCAATCTTTTTAATCATTTCAAAATAAATGTTGGGGGAAGAAAAAAAACTATAGCAAAATGTGCTGTAGGATTTCCTGTAAAAACCAAGTTTTTGCAGTTTGATAAAACTTTTCCATGTTTTTTTAATGATAGAACCAATTAGGAAATGGCATTTATAACCCAGGACAAAAACTGTGTTACAAAGGGCCCTTCCACACAGACATATAACCCAGAATATCAAGGCAGAAAATGCCACAATATCTGCTTTAAACTGGGTTATCTGAGTCCACACTGCCATATATTCCAATTCAAAGCAGATAATGTGGGACTTTATCCAGCTGTATGGAAGGGGCCATAGTGTAAACTGGGATCAGATCCTGAGATATCGGGCAGTGCAGAAGAGGCCAGAAAGATAGGACACCAGGCAATTTAAGATGAAAGGTATAGATCCAATCCCCATCTTACATTTATCCACTTTTTATCACCTAACCAAGAGCCTTGCAAGTCTCCCTAAGAGTGACTTGCAATGGACTGCAGCCATAACCACAAATCACCTTTGATATTATTTGCATAACACTGAAACCTATCAATACAAATATGGTTCACGCTCTCAAAGTATCAGTGCACAAAAAGAACTCCAATATGCACAGAAAACCTATACATAGGCAGTTAAACTAGTTTTATTCCTTAGTTGCTGTTGTTGTTTTTCAATGTGCTATTTCAAAAATATGTTGTGCTGCTGTTCTGTTTTATAAACCTTTGCTTGTTTTTAGTGATAATAATGATGATTAGTTTTTTTCCCCTCGGGTTTTGCTTTTATTCTGTGCATCACTCAGCAGCCTTCAGCTATTGCATAATATCAAACAGTAATCAAGGTACTGTTCCCTTATCCAGGTGGAGGCCACAGGGAGGCGCTAGAGAGAGGATAGTCCATTTTAGGGGGATGGGGAAGTTGAAGGAGGAAAACCATTTCCCCTGGTTTCACTGGTTATACCCCTTCCCCACGTCCCATGTCATAAATGAGGGTTGTTTCCACAACAGGGACATGGTTGGGGAGAATAACAGGAAAACAGGGGAAATTGTTTTCAACCCATTCTCCATCCCCATAAAATTGACTATCCTTCTCTCTCTATCGCCCCCTTATGGCCTCCCCCCGCATAATGAAACAGTACCATAATCAAAAGATAATAATAAAAGAGGGCTGAGCCCTGCTTTCACAACCTTACTTCTGAAATGTTAGAATACCATAGTTCTTTGGTATAGTTCCTTACATGCTTAATGCCAATCAAAGAGTAAGAAGATATGTACAATATCTCACAAGCTCAGGAACAATATTTTGAAAAAACTCAGATATACGATATTGTTCCTTATGAGAAAAAAATGGCATGTATTTTCCCCCTGATTTTTGGTTTTGTCTCTTATCCTTGCTACACTCATTTTAACTATAAATATCTTCCTGGGATTTCCTGTCTATATCCACTGAAAACACTGAAGAAATTTATATCTTTGTTGTTTATATAAATGTATATCTTTGTTGTTGAAAAAACATTGTGCAGTTAATGCACAATGTTTTTTTCAACTGGAGCAAGCTATTAAAGCAGATGGTTTGGAATAATTCACTGCATGAAGGGAAATCTAAGTATCACCATTCTTCATGTTTTCAAAGCTTCATAGCATGGTGTTCACAAAATATAAATACAAATTCTTATCTACATCTAATATATACACATTAAAATACCTTTCAGGAGTAGGGGAAATATCAGTGTCATCAAAATATGCATTAGGCACTCTTCCTTCCTTCCTACTCCTCCTGAACATAAAATAAACAGCAAAAATATTTCAGACATTTCAGATTTGCTTTTGGAACTCTATGTTTATTCTGTCTCATTATACTATAGAAGAAAATTGTAATTATCTGATCATCCTCTTTACTGCTGCCTTATGCAGTCAAAAGACATTACGTAGGAAGAACTACAGAGCCGAAAGTGCATGTCTCTTATCCAAAGGGATACTTTGATTGTGATTTTCCTCCATGTCAGGGGGTAGGACTAGATGGCCCATGTGGTCTCTTCCAACTCTATTATTTTATGTTGTGTTATGCTGAAAACAGCTGTTTTCCCCTTTCTCCTTTCATATTGTTCAAATTATCCCATGTTCTGATGTCATTAAGACAGTTCACACACACACTTCCCATGAATTGAAAACAGACAAGGTAATCTTAATATGTCATTGGCTACCCTTGCCTCCTTTCTGGCAATGCACTCGCTGGCCATTCGTATACAAAATGTATGAAAGGTCTCCTCCAGTGAAACCTGCTTCATCCACAAGTGTTGTTTGCTTAATGTGCATCTATGTAGTATATAACTAGCATGCACAGCAGCGAACGGGGGAAGATACATTTTCAATACATATGTGTGTATGTGTGTGAACTGCTTTCATATCACTATGGTGTGTTTCTCTAGGAGCAGGAGGAACAGGAATAGAAAAATACACATCACAGTGATATTAGGGCATGGGATAAGTATGAACAGTTTTGAACTTACCTGTAAGTTAGTAACTTTCTGAATATTCCAGGATATATGCTCTGTACTTCAACATGACAATGTTTAGAAACATCTGGACATTTCTGGACATTCTAGCTACTGAACTAATATATTTTAATTTTAGCTAATTTAAAAGACTCCATTGTTTCATTAGTGCCATGGCTAGCTAGGTCAGTAGTAGCAGTTGTGTGAGATGGGAAAGAAAGTGCTGAACTACTGCATAGCCAAAGTATTGCATGGTAAGAAACCAATGGCTCAACTCTGTGCAGAGTCATTCACAGTTGAAATGTGAAAGTCTGGTGACACAGTCAGCAACATTTATGAAAATAAATGTGTTCTGTCAAAAATGTGCATCCAAATTTGACAGTTTTTAGTTTAGGAGCAAGGATATCTACAGATTCCCATTATGTTTTTCATAAGTAGGCTTCAGATGAATTGTCCCTGTTTCTTCAGAAAATTTGTCTTAAGAAACTGGGCAAATTTATCAGAAGCCTACTAATTCCCTTCTCCTCCAACATTGCTCCACAGTTTACCTGTGGTAGTGGAGAACAGATAGGCGCTTCTCTTCTAAGTCCTGGTGAACATCCATTCCCACAGGTATTGTGACTATTTATTTATTTTGCTATGGTAGTTATATCACCCTAATCATAAGAATTTAGAGCTGTGTGTGACAAAATCAATTTAAACCAAAGATAACCATACTTGTAGTTTTAGCAGGTTCACTATTCAAAAATAATTACCAAAAAGGATTTACATAAATTTAAATTGGATGACAAAAACATCAAGCTTCCTAAAGATTTTCTAATTTTGTTTCTATATGTTGGAAACTGTAGTCCAGAAACCAAAAGAAAACTTAGATGTGGAAGATCAGTCATGAAAGTATTAGATAAGATCTACAGATATTTCATTGAATAAGGAAGTCAGGATCATGCATGATATGGTATTTCTAATTTTTGTTTATGGATATGGAAATCAGACAGTCAAGAAAAGTGTATAGATGTGAAAAATCAGTCAAGAAAATATACTCATTTGAAATGTGATACTGGAGAAAAATATTACTGATACCAAAGACTGCTAAAAAAAATAAGTTGGTCTGAAGCAAATCAAGTATGAACTCTCACCAGGAGCCAAAATAATTAAACCGCAGCTATCCTATCACAAAATAACATAACTTATTAAAATGGCAGTAACTTGTTTGAACGGGCACATGGTTCCTACGTTCCATGATGTAGAAGGGCCAAGATTGCCCCAGCATTCCTTCATGAGGTCCTTTATAAGTGATAGAATCACTGGACCTTGTGTTTCAGATTTTCTAATTTTCAATATGACAAGTATGGTTTTATGAAAACAGAGGAAATTTCCATGTGATAACAGATGCACCCCAGTGATGACAGATGCTCCCCAGGCAGGTACCCACTTTACAAGTGGTCATATAGCATAGTCTTGACTTTAGGATCCCTGGATCCCTCCATCAACTTGCAGGAGTGGCACCTGATCTTCTTGGCAAATCACTTTTACCCTTCCTCTCTCAGAAGGACTAAAGAAGGCCCACAAGAGATTTTGAACCTTTGACCTTCAAATTCCCTCTTTAAAAGGAGAAGATCAGTGTGTTCCTCTGCATTTGTTATCTAGATAGCAATCTGTATTGCAGATTTTCAATAGAAAATTGATTGCTATTAGGAATTTTTAGCTAGCATATCACATCCCCCATTGAGTAATGACCTCCATTTGATGGAAGACCAGAATTATTTTGATTAGTTATTTTGTTTACAAATTTTGGAGGATTCTTTTAGTCTTGCTAGTACATTTTAATTATTCGTTGTTTGGAGGAAGGAATCAATCTCCTTTGAAAACTGATAGCCACATAGAAGATATAGACCAGAATCCAAATGTGCATTTCTATTTGTTCCTGCTATTGCATAGAGTTGGATAATCCACCGGATTAGGTTTTTGGAACATAGGGTTATCAGCTGGTGATGGGATTTGGCGGACATTGGTTATTCAAGATCATCACTGGATCTTGACCACAGAACGAGAACATTATATTACCATACCTATTCTTGTTATTTTACTAACAATATTACATCACAATGTAAGTTATTAAAACACTAGCTTACTTTTTATGCTAATTTCATTGACTTGGCTATTTCAAGCTGATTTTGTGACACAAAAGGACAGAAATTTTTAACACATTGCAGTGATGTAGCTTTTATTATAATAGTTACTTCTTCAGAAACACAACATATATGTATAAGGCACAACTGACTCTGAAAATATGAATGGGTAATTAAAGATAGTTACATTCAGTAATTATTGTGCATGGATACTAATATTTTATATATGTTGGGTAAAATTTTGCCTGTGTAATTTAATTGATTTCTCTTCCCCCCCCCCCCCCCCCATGCAAGCCTGCCTTTCCTTATTTATTTCAATGTATCATTCTGGACTTAAGTTGAATAGTGCAACTTTATTCCTTATGCGAGTGACTAAATAAACACTCCACACCATTTATACCTCTCAAATTCATAGTAAGCACCCTCAGAATAGGTACGGCACTTCATACGGGATCGAAGTAATCTGACTGCATCTTCACAAAAGATAGGATACATTGAGTGATCCTTGCTGCCAAAACATAAGGGGTGAATATGAAGCTAAAGTAAGAACACATATACAAAATGAATACCTTTTAGGAACAAAGGTAAACATTCACAAAAGCAAATAAATATGAATTTAATGAGAAAACATTGGCTAAATCAGATGTATGATGGCAAAAGCAAGCAACTTCTATAGTTCCAAAAGCAAATTTCAACTGTGAACATGATGAAAAAGGGCACTGTGCTACCATATGGAGAACTGAATTTGGTTAGGATGGCAGCAACATTTTGAAGTACATTTGAAACACTCTGCTTTAACACAAGGCTCATGTATTGCTTTAAAGCTAATTCACATCCCCAGGCATTTTTGGAACAATGAATAAGATGTCAACTTCCTTTGTAGCTTGTTCTAAAAAAAAAAGCACTTTATAATTTAGCGTCACCAAATGTTGCCCCACCTTGCATTATGAACATAAAGCATTAGTGCAAAAATATCAAATATCATTAGTGTTCTGAGCCAAATGTAAGAAGTTTACAAGCAAGATATTGCAATGGGAAGGGTTTTCAACTGTATAACTGTTTCTTTTCCCTTTATTATTGCATGTATTTTTCATTTTTCATGCTTTCATTATGATTTAAATCAGAGTAAGCAAAGTATGGTCAGTATGGTCTTGAGGCTTCATGCAACTCACCACAGATTGTCTATTCAATAGTTTGTAAATTCTCCCACCCCCAAGTAGAATTTAATGCTAAATAACAACAATTTTTCAAATATGGACTTTTGCATTATTTGTTTGTTGTTATTTTTAGCATTCTATGTAGATCTTTCAGGACTCTATAGTCTAAAACAGACCCTAGATCTACCACAATTTCCCATCCCAGTTTGAAATAGAACTTGTTTAAATGAACATTATCATTATAATTGGTTAAAAAGCAAACAAATGAAAAAAAAATAAAAAAACATGTGGTAGCCACTTCATAGCTGCTCTTCAAATATTGTGGCAAATATTGTCAGGGCCCATCCAGACAAGCTCAAAAACCGGGACCTGTCCAAACAACACCTCCATTAAAAATGAATTAATTCAGAACATATGAAGGGTTTCCTGGTTTGCTCTGAATTAATTTGATACCCTATTAGATCCAGGCCTTCCTGAAAAGCCCGGGTCTAATGGGGTATTGGGCCTGTGGAGACTCACTTCCAGGTAGTTTTGGGACTACCTGGGGGTGAGTCTCCATTGCCATTCCAAACCTTTTGGGGTCCTGGAGCCCCAAAGATGTGGGATGACGCTCATCCCTTTCCCCCAAGCCCCCAATTTCTCCTTGAATTTTAAGTAACAGGTAGCTGGCTGCCATAACTTCCATCCTTGCATCCTCCTGGCACGAGGAAATAACACGCAAGGAGACGGGGGGGGGAGTGGGATTTTTGTCCTCGGCCCTCCCGTCTCCTCAAGTGTCATTTCCTTCATGCTAGGAAAACACGAGGAGGGAAGTTATGGTGGCTAGGTACCTTTTACTTAACTTTTAGGGGGAAACTGAAGGGCTTCAGAGTGCCTTCTGTGCGAATTTTAGTCCTGTCTGGTAGCCCCCACAGTTAATGGTTAATATAGCATTTGAAAAATGATACTTCTTCAGTGACATCCAAAAGCCATTCTTCAAGTCAATCCTAGGGAAATTAATATAAAACCCATTCCTTCAAGAAGCTGTTCATAATTTTTATGGAATGGCCAATAAGTAACTTCTAACATCTGGAACATCAAATACAACTCCCAATAATCAATGCCTTTATTTCAGATATCTTTCCAGAAAAAAATTAGTAGTTACTATTTTATTGGTTAGGGAAAGCATTCATGTTTTAGGACATTAACACCTACCAATTTACTCACTGTTTGTCCACAAAACATTCGACTGAAACTATTCAGATGAATAGTGTAAAGCAAAAATATAGGTTCAAAGGGGACATGCATTTATGCACACACACACGCACACACCACCCACAGGAAAACAAATACCTGGCATCTCTATGATGGTAGTCAATGGATTGAGTGTGATGGGACCAAGGCAGAGTGAGATAATGACTGAAAGCACAGCAGAAACAAAAATAAAAATATAAGACAATGAAATGAAGGCAACAACATTTACAACAAAATAGAAAACTGATGGTTAAGGTAGCCTGAGGAAACAGCGACTAAGGAAAATAGTCTCTAATTCTAGTTAGTTAAAATTCAATCATTAGCCAAAATGCAGATTATTATTATTAGTAGCAGCAGCAGCAGCAGTAGTAATAGTAGTATTTTATCCTGCCCTTTACCCACTTAGGGACTCAATTTAAAAAAATCCTTAAAATTTGCACAATACAAAAGTTACAATCAGCTTAAACAATCAATAAACTAAAAAACAGGTAAAAACAGACATCATTAAAAAACACATAGTAGCACAAGAAGTAATAGTTATTCATCAAATGCCTGTCTAAACAGAAAAGTCTTCACTTCTGTGAAAACAGGAAGTAGGGAAAGTGCAACTTCCCTGGGAAGTTCCACAACCAAGGAGTAGCCACTGAGAAAATCCTCTCCAATGTTCTCAAAGCAAAGGCTGATTTGTATAATGCATAAAGCATGAACAACTCTAGTAAAAATGTGAATGAGTATGCATATAGTCAAATACATTCAAGATTTTGTATAGAAATGTTTCAATTTTACCTTTAGTACATGATTTCTTTCATTTAAAAGGAAGACAATAAAAACTGTTGACACAATTACAGCAGTTTATCCAATGAACAGCTTCACAATATTGTCCAGTCATCTATTTCCAATAACGCTTTGCTATCTTTCACAAAGGTCACTGGGACACTGCTAGGCTTAGCAAAGGCTATATAACAGCTTCCAGTGGGCTGTATCCTTCCTAGCTTGACCCCAACAGGTTTACACTCTCCCAAACTCAAACTTATTTGTTACTTGAAACATTTATATTCCACCCTTCTTACCCTGCGGGGGACTCAGGGCAGAGCACTACATATATATACGTCAAAAATTCAATGTTGGGATATAAAACCACAAATATACACAAACATTAAAATCACTTTTAATATCCACTTTTAAAACAGTTGCTTAAAAACCATCTCAGGACACCATTCTATTATTGCCTCATTGCGCCAGTCTTAAAAGCTACACAGTTCCACCTTGCTGAGGTCATCTTGGTACAAAAAGGCATTTCTGGCATGTTCGTGTGTTTACTGTATCAAATTATTTTAGATCACACACCCGCAACAGCTGTGGGGTATTTTTTTTTCCTTCCATGCAAATATACCTATATCTGTATAACTTACCATCTGGCAGCCTTTTTGTTTTCCTGTCAATCTTACCACCCACCTGCACTCTGACGTCCCAGCTTAGGTTTCTCCCAAAAATTTGATCACTGACTAGGGACTTTATCCCACGGGCAGGAGGGAAGGGGAACACCAGACTCCTGAAAATGAAGTTTTCTGACTGTATTTGCATACTGGTGAGATGGATTTCCACACACAGCCACCAGAAGTGGCTGTGCATCATGGGATAGCCTTCATGGGGCTTTGTGGGACTTTGCAGCATGCAAAGATGGTAAGAAAACAGGGGGAAATTAGGGTGGAATAAGATCGTAAGACTGACTTCAACAGTGTTATCAAAGTCCCCATTAAAATGGTATAGGGCAGCAGTCCTTGCACTTTATGCCTCATACATGTAACACACATTCCCAGCATGTACAGAATCTCAGGTGTGATGTTTGAATATACAATTATCCACTTATATATACTAAATATAAATGTGTTTAGAAGTGCAACCTGATCAAGGACGGCTTTATTAGAAATCAGGATAAAATTCCTGTTGGATTCAACTCAGCCCACCAAGTGAGCAAAGAATCTCAGGCTTTTGGAGAGGCAAATTTGCATGTTCTAGAACATGGCCATATAGCCCGAAAAAACCCAGAAGAACTGAGTGATTCCGGCCATGAAAGCCTTCGACAATAAATTTGCAATTATCCAAATATACCCATTAACGCTCACCTCAATTTTCAAAACCCTAAAAGAAGTATTTGATGCAGGCATGTAGCCGGGGGGGGGGGGCTCAGCCCCCCCCCCCCGAAATTCTCATGGTGGTTCGCGAAAAGGCCTTACTGGTGCATTATTTAAACTGTTATGTTTATTCATGTCATGATCTGATCACCATACTCAATATATCCCATATGCATGGGGGTATTGGGGTAACGATACAAAAGGTTTGCTAGGCTAGACCCTCTTTCACTCAGACTCCCCCCCCCGAAACTCAGCCCCCCCGACACCCCCCCAAAAAAACTCCCCCCCCCCCGAATCGAAATCCTGGCTACGGGCCTGATTTGATGCCAAATGCAATGTGCAGCGGCAAAAAGCGCACTTTGTAATTTGGCCCAAAAAAAGGTGTGCATTACAGTTGCTCCATGCTTAGAATGCCTTCTTTAAAAACGAAAGTGTTTGAACACCAAAGTTTCTAGCAAAGGAAAAGAAAACCTTGGGGTGAATCCTTGCTGTATAATGAATCCACTTTAACTGCCCTGGCCCAATGCTATGGGAAATTGGGACTTAAGTTTGGGATCATGGGGGCTGTCAAAGAAGGCTGATCCTTCACAAATCCCAGCATTGCATAACATTGAGCCATGGCAACTAAATTGGAGATGATGTCCCTCAAATAGGAGCTTCGGGTGCTCCTGGAGTAGTTCCCCTTTTGCTTTGGCTCAGCACTAAGATTACCATATTGCATGAATATAATGCGCACCCAAATTTTGAGAAGGTAATTTAGCCAAAAAAGGTGATCAATAGATTCGAGTAAATGTGATATATATTGATGTAAAAAGAAAGGTGACACTACATTTGCTGGACAAGGATGCTGGTAACTAACCACCAACCTCTCCTGCCCTCCAACTTTGCCCATCTTTTGTTTTGGCAAGACAAATAAGAACGACCCAAGAACAACTTCCCAAAAGAGTCAGACAATTTTCAACCAATTGCTTTCACTTTTACAACCTTTAAGGTAGAAATTCTTGCCATGTACAGGGTCGCAGTATCTTTTTCACCTAGAGGACAGCTGACAGCTCAAAAGGAATGAAGCTGCCGAATTATCCATTAACTTTTTTGTGCTTCAGCAATTTAATGACATCCATTTCAGATGTAATATGATGCTCTTCAAGTGACAAGTGCACAGTAGAGTTTTGAACCAATTAGAAAATTAGTATGTATCTAAAATTATAAAGCAGAGAATTCTCACCCCTCGCCCCATCTTATATTCATAGACTAAACGTTCCAGGATTTTAAAAACAAGAGTATTTTTTTCTGAATCTATCAAATGGCAAAATTTTATGTGGCTTTTCTCTGTAAATGCATTCCTTCATGCCATGACCGGTTTTGATTAGCAATTTTCCGACTGAAGGCATAACAGATATTATTCCATACCAAACCCATTCCACATCAGCCATAGATCCATTATAAGAAGCTTTAAAGTATGCAGTATAATACTTGAAAGGCATTACACAATCCAAGCACAGGATATAAATCCAATCTAACCTCATTTATCTAAAAGGCAACCCCAGAGACTTATATCCAATAACCTTAATCCAAACGACAAGAAGGAAGACTACAAATTGTGAAGGCAATTTCCAATACTAAAATCAATTTGCAAAATAATGTTATCTATCCTGGATGGAATGGCATACCATTGATCCTATGCTGTGCTCCATGGAACATTTTTATTTGCTTCACTGTTTTTCATTTATTTCAACATGGTTTTTCCTTGTTTTTTTCCAACGAACATTGAATTTTTGAGCACTCAAAGTCACAACTAATAAACATGGACATAAGAACTCTAGTTCTCATGTTCATTAAGATCATTCTACACAAAACTCTATGATTAAAGTCATAGCAATTATTGTAAAGTGAATTTCTGAGGTCAGGAAACCCAAACAAGCTGCATCCCTGCATTTTTAATGAATTTCCTACTATTACTAGCATAGTATTGCCCAGTATGCATTTTCTTTGTGGCTTTTTCTTTCCTTCCTCTTTCTCTCATACACATTTTCATTGTATCTTTTCCTTCCTTCTTTCCCTATCCGTCTTCTGTCTATCTGTTTTTCTTTCTTTCTCTTCTTTTTCTTTCATCCCTCGCTCCTCTCAAACCTCTTCTTCTTTCCTTTCTCTTCCTTGCTTCTATAGTATAAATTCTGAAATTCAGTGTTCATCTATGGAATATTGCCCGCAATCATATTTAAAAAGGTTTCCCCTCGACATTAAGTCCAGTTGTGTCCGATTCCGAGAGTTGGTGCTCATCTCCATTTCTAAGCCGAAGAGTCGGCATTATCCGTAGACACCTCCAAGGTCATGTGGTCAGCAGGCCTGCATGGAGCGCCATGACCTTCCTGCTGGAGTGGTACCTATAGATCTACTCACATTTGCATGTTTTCAAACTGCTAGGTTGGCAGAAGCTGGACCTAACAAAGGGAGCTCACCCCGTTCCCCGCTTTTGAACCACTGTCCTTTCGGTCAGCAAATTCAGCAGCTCCTCGGTTTAACCCACTGCACCACTAGTGATTCTAAGAAAGCATAAGAAGCTCTAAAACCAAACACACCCATGAGATCTTAAATCAGCCTTCTGATATTAAACCACTATCATATTATCATGCCTGTAGCTACCTACTAAAAAAAGTAAAGCTTGCCCTTCAGTGTCATCTTCAGTTTTTGAAAGTCACCAATCAAACTGAGCTTTCTCAGTTCTGTGCTAGTTTTATAAAGGTGATTTTTAATAGCCCTCTAAAACAACAAGCGTAAATTGTCATGGATCATGTAACCTATTATTTCAAGGATTTCTCATTTTGGCAGTTGCTCTCATCACAATTTAAAAAGCGATGTAGGAAGATTTGTTGGTCTCAGGAGATATTTAAAGCCAAGGTCTGCATAAAGATTTGAGTTATATCATACCATGGGGTTTTGTCTGTCTCAGTCAGGAAATTGCAAAATCACTATATCTTGCTCTTATTATGATGAACACGCTGCATTGTAGGCCACTATTAATTTGAGAAA